TAGGTGGTATTTTTATAATTTTTTTAACATTTATTTGCTTTTGACTATCATTCTATCAACACCATACAACGTTTGACCCTAAACACCAACCTTTGACCATCACCCCAACACAATTGAGACCACCACCAATGGTTGTTTTCGATGATGGGAATACGGAGTGGGTAGCTTTTAGTGGTGAAACTGGTGATAGAGGGACTGTTTTTGGTGGTGGATGGGTTGTTTTTAGTGATAGGGGAATGGGGGGTTCATTTTTGGCAGAGGAGTTGGAAAATGTGGCTTTCGTCGATCGGGAATTGAAAGGGCTAGTTTTCTACGGTGGGGCGGTAGAGGGGTGGGAGCACATGTGTGTTAGCTGGGTGGTGGTGGACTGGTGATGGTGTTACGTTGGAAGTGAAGGTAATTAGTAGGGGTTACTTCGTCAATTTTTTTAGAGTTATTCGGTAAAGGTTATATAGGTTACTTGGTTAGTATTACAGGGGTTACTTGGTTAGTGTTATAAGGGTTACTTTGTTCTTTTACAAGAGGTCACACAGTGCGGCTACTTGCGCACGAGATGAGCTGATTCCTAATACATATTTTTTTACTTATGTAAAATTATATTAGACCTTATTAGAGAAACTTACTAGACATTATTATAATTTGTTTTTAATCTTATTGAACCATATTGGAAATTTAGGAACTTTATTAAAATTGCTTTGAACTTATGTAACAACTTTTCTTAACAGATTTTTACTTTTTTTTTTCTTTTTTTCGTTAGGGTGACTGGAATTCACCCGACCTCATAATCTTATCGCTCACTCAGCACGCATTCAACAAAGTAGACTTTAAGCCTTTAAGTTGGAAAAAATTTACATGGCCGTTTTTGTTATAACAATTTAAGTGCACAACTGCACAATATATGTTTAAAGAAACTTGAACATCACTTTACAATAAAACTTGACCTAATTTGAATATTTGATCCTACTATTTCAATAATTAATAATACAATTTCTTAATAGCTCGAAATCAATAGAAGCACCTGACACAATTAGTCTATTGAATTCAACAACTTGTAGGTCTCACGCAAACAAAAATGAGATTTACCTTATGAATTCTTTGTTATGCGCGCAATTGATTCGTGAGGAGGATTTTCCAATATTATTTTTTCTTGTTTTTAATAAAATTGAAAAATTGTGTGTACCTTGCATTATGCGGTCATGCATCTATATATGCCACTTGCATGGCATCACAAAAACAAATCACTCAAGTTGTTTTGACACAAATTAAGCATTTTATGTTCAACTACCTATAATTTTTCTAATCTGAGTAGATCTACGACAAGGTTAAGTGATATTATATACTTCGAAACATCATAGTGCCAAATGCCAATTAGCTTACAAAAAAGTCAATTAAAACAACTAAGACGTAAGGAGTACTTTTTACAGGTTTAACCTTGCTTTAATTTGTATAATACTTCGTACTCGATAATACAAGAATTAGATAATAAAACAAGCAAAATCAGTCATATATCCATAATCTTGTTATTCAAAATGAAATAATTGACTCTATAATAAATAATAAATATAATTCTAACAATTAAGAATATGAGAATATGACATAGAAAGTGTATACAAAAAAAAAAAAAAAAAAAAAAAAAAAAAAAAAAAAAAGTTAATTAATGATCTAAATGGCATACCTTTCGTTGGGCAAAGCTTGATAACACGTCAATGCGTAGTGTTTGAAATTTCAAGAGAGGAAGAGGAAAGAATGAGCAGACTTTGTCCAAATAAATACAACGTAGACTATTCCTTTAATCATTGTATTAAGAATGAAATAATGTGATATACTTCGTATTATTTTTATAAGTAATGATTAATTTTATATATAAAAAATATTAGAAGTATAACCATGATAAACTTTATACAATGATATTATCTTTAAAAAAAATTATCCAAAAATTCGCTTAGGGTCTGTTCTCTTCAACTTATTTTTAGTTCAGCTCCAATAAGTTTAGAGCTGTCAAAAGCTGACCCGACCCGAAATACCGACCCTAATCCGACCCGTCTGAACACGAAAAAAATGGTAACCCGAACCCGACCTAACCCAACCTGAAACCAACTCTAGACCTGAGTTGACCCGAGTATTTGAGACCCGAACCCGAACATTAACCGACCTAGAGACGACCCGACCCGACCCAAATGTAACCCGTAAATTATTGACCTGAACCGAAATTGATCCAAACCCGTTTTAACCCGTCAAAACCCAAATTCAACCTAACCCGTTTCTAACCCGACTTGAATTTCAACCCGAACTGTTCCTAACCTGACCTAAATTTAACCCGACCTGCTACAAACCCGACTCGAATTTCAACCCACCTATTACAAACCCAACCCGAATCAGCCCGACTTGTTATTGACCCGACCCAAATTCAACCCGACTTGTTATTGAATCAATTTGTATAGTCGTTATCTCATGTTGGTATTGGAACGGAAATTGAATCCTAACTCTATTCCTTCAATATTTCACTTTGAATTTTAAGAGGTTAGTTTCACAACATGTTTTTATGGACGAATTTCAAGGACGAAACATGTTTTTTCGCAAATTATTGACTTGAATTGAACCCGACTCGAACCCGAGAATGACCCGACTTGATTATAACCCGCAAAATATTGACTTGAACCGAACCCGACTTGAACCCGAGAATGACCCGACCTGATTATAACCTGTAAATAATTGACTTGAACCGAACCCGACTAGAGCCTGAGAACGACCCTAACTTGTTTAAACTCGTAAAGTCCAAAATTTAACCCGACCTATTTTTCACCCGACCTGAATGTAACCCGACCTTTTACTGACCCGACCCAAACCCGATAAGATGTATGACCCGACGTGACCCGATGATAGGCCGTCGTCGATCCTACCAAAGATAAAGTCCTATCTTGGTCTCACTAGCTAATAGCAAGGGTAAGAAAGGGTCGAAACCAAGAGAGGTGTTGAATCAACCACCGAGATACTACCGTTTAAACAAGCTAAATGAAGTCGAAATTGGTTTGGTTTTATGTAGCATGTACTAATTCAAAACAACTAATACTAAGGGGTGATTAACAATAATTAGAGAGTTCTAGGGCTCGGGAAATACCACTCAATTTTGTCACAAATCACAAATACCAAGTAGCAAATAATGGCAAATTAAGGGGATAATATAGGGGAAGTCATCTAAAGCACCCAACTACTCTCTCAAGCTAGAGGGATTACTTGAATCATGAATACAACCTACTCTCGTGGTTAAAAAGCATAAAACAAGTGCTAAAGCATAATCACGATGACAAAAACATTCCCTTGACTGGAAATTCCTATTCTCATGGCATTTCAAGATAATTAAGCATAAGGGAGCTAACTCAAGTTCATCTCTCGATCCTTCGTTGAGAAAGCTTAGATAATAGCTCTAGCAATGGCCATATACAAGAACTAAGCAATTAAACCACTCAAGCTCAACTAATTAACACCCAACAATTACCAAATTAACACATCATGTAACAAGAAATTAGTGACTACATTGAGGGTTTTACCCAAACCCTAGAAAATTAGACTACTCACAATCCATGGAGATTAAAGCAATTAAGGGTTTCAAGTAACTCATGAACAAGAATCAACTAAGTTAAGCTAAATGACAATCTAAGCATACAAGAATTAAGCAAGAAAATTAACAATCAAGCAATTAAAATGGAAGAGTGAGAAAAAAATTACTAGAAGCTTGAACTTGAATAACAATGGTGGAACTTGTCTTCTACAATGATTGAGAATGAAATTTCCAAGCTAATAATTATAATCTAACTAATGATTTGAGGATATTTGTGTTTCTACAATTTCAAACTAAGAGGAAGCACTAAAACTTGGATGTCGTACAAATGAGCTCAAGGGGTTATTTATAAAGACCCCCAAATAAAAAAGACGGAGAAAACAAGAGTCGGACACGGCTACAGGTCAGCACGGACGTGATGAGGTTGGCACGGACGTGCAGCCATAACTGCACGGACGTGCCAAGGTAGGATCGAGCGTGCACCTCCGAAAGCAGAGAGGCAGAATGTACTATTTTGGCCTGGGCATCCTGCAGGACGTGCCAAATGTGGCACAGATGCAGGCCTTGTTTAGTAGAATCAGTTTTGAAACTGATTTGGGCTGAGCAAACTGCACGGACGTGTAGGATCAGGCACGGGCGTGCTGAACATCCTGCACGGACGTGCTAAACTCTGCACGGACGTGCTAAACTCTGCACGGACGTGCAGGTCACGAAAGCAGTAGGCAGTAGCTTCTGGTCGTTCTGGGGCACTCCTGCACAGACGTGCTATACTTTTCACGTCCGTGCAGACTCTCTAAGGCCTTTATCTTCACTTTTCTTCGATTTTGCTCCATTGTTTCGGCTTCTAACCTCGGTTTATCATCCAAATGCCTTAAATGGTCGTCTTTGAACCTAAAAACTCAACAAAAACACTAACAACCCGTGAAGCAAGGGATACACAAAAGTTGAACAAAAATAGGGTAAAAGTGAACCAAAATGCCAATATACCAAGTAAACAAGGTTCGAAATCACTCTAAAATCATATTAAATAACAAGTTATCACCTGACTCAAGCATGACCTAACCCGAACCCGACATTGCACGCATATGTTATGACATTAACCCATATTGACCCGACCCGAGATGACCCGACTCACACTAACCCGACTCAAACCCAGCCTATTTACACGAATTGAAGGCTCTAAATAAGTTAATTAAGTTCAATTTAGTTCAGTTCTTATCTTAATTTCCTTCTCTTATAAAAAATTTAGTTCAGTTCAGTGAAGGATTTATGCCTTCGATAAGTGCAATTACTAGATATATTATGGATCACTATTATGGAGATAATAAGTTCGTTCTTTTGGGTGGTCATTGTCTGTTGCAAGATATGATAAAGGATATTTGGGCTAGTCAAATAGTCTAAATCCCTTTAGAAAGGATCCTATGAGGTCACACAACAAGAGTATTGGGTTAAACAAGTTAGAGGTTCATTAATGGGCCTCATGAGATTATAACAAACCATAAAGAGTGTTGGGATAGAGTAGTTTGATTGAGATTGGGAGTTTGTGTAACACCCCCAAATTACTCTCTAATATTAACAATAGTATCCAACTTTAGGGAGTAACATGGGAGTATTACCGCCACGTGATTACGTAAGGCTTAACAGAGTTTTGCAGCGGAAAATAGTACTTAACTTTCATTAATGATAATAATAGTAGTAATAATAGTTTGATACATTTTCAAAGTAACTACACCACTAATACTATGTTTACTAAATTAAACTAGGTGATCACCGCCTATCATTCCCAATGCATCATATAGTTCACGTTGTCCGATCGCCATCACCTATCTACTTATCAAAATGATAAGTAGGGTCAAGCCAAAACAAAACAAATACGTATTAGCCAAAATGCTAAGTACATACAAATGCTAGACATGTAAAATCAATTTAATTAATTAAAAATGCTTTCAAAAAGATTTAACTTTGATAAATCATAATTTATCCAAACCATTCCTGAATATAAATTCATGTATAAAAACTTGTCAAAAGAACCAATTTCCGAAATAACCAACTTTTCAAAGAAAATTCCGAATAGGATGGATCAGTCCATATTTTCATAAATCATTTTCTCATCTAAGTGTGCACACCCCCCAAGCTAGTAACTCCTTTACATAGTTCTATCAAGGGGAGAGACTAGGTCATACAAAGTCCATAGTCTTCAACTTACTCCGCATAGTGGGAGTTGAAAATCCAAAGATCCAAGGAATAAATCCTGTTAAATAAACTTTCCAATATCCCATACTCGGGATAATATAAATAATAAAACTCCTTTTTTTAAAAAAAAAACATCTTGAATATCAGTACAAGTTTATAACCAACCATATAAAATATTTTAATATTTGAGATTAAACGATTAAAACATGGTTCACCGAAATATATTTCACAGTTATTTAAACATGGTTCGAAATCACTTAACATGTGAAACACGTTGCATATAAAAGCCACTTTTTAAAAGATCTAGCCACATGTACGTACCTCGATCTTTGCACACATGCAATTATGGAGCTCCTAATTTCAAACCCGAAATTCCTCCTATAACAAACCAATAATCCTAATCAAATACTTTCCAATCTATAGACACGAAGACTTAAAATACCGACTTTGACTTGTTGTGCATGACCAATTTATTAACACTTGTATTTATAAAATAATCTTTAAATATCCGTAATAATAATAATAATAATAATAATAATAATAATAATAATAATAATAATAATAATAATAATAATAATAATAATTATGCTATTAGTAATAATAAGAGTAGTAGTAGTGATACGTAGGTAAGTAGTAGTATGATAGTAGTAATTGTAGTAGTAGCAACTCAGCAGCAACAACTACAATACTAACATCAATAACAATAATAATAATAATAATAATAATAATAATAATAAATGGAAAGGTAGTAATAGTAGTACGTAGGTAGTAGTAGTAGCAAAATATCAACAGCAACAACTACAATACTTACAACAACAACAACAATGATAATAATAATAGTAGTAGTAGTAGTAATAATAAGAAGAAGAAGTAGTAGTAGTAGTACTAGAGAAAGAAGTGTATGGCTTACGGTGCAATACAAGGAAGGAGGGGGCTGCTCTTGTGGTGGTCGGTGGGTTGTCGACTGGTGGTGCTCGGCTATGGGAGGGTGGTGTAGAGGGGAGAAGCTAGTTGGAGGAAGAAGTATGAAGAGGATTTTAGAGAAGAAGATGGAGTGAAGTAGTCATATGTGTATGGCTATTTATAAAGCATTCTTGACACTATTTCACCCTTCACCATTAATGGAGGAAGCAAGTGGGCAAGTGGGTGGGTTTTCCCCCTCTTGCCGACATGCTCTAAATTTTTTTTTTTTAATATATATATATATATATATATATATATATATATATATATATATATGTATGTATGTATGTATGTATGTATGTATCTATGTATGTATGTATGTATGTATATTGAAGTATTATGCTAGGCAATCGATGTACAAATTTTGTGTAGTACTAGTGTACTAATATATGAATTGAAATGGCGAATTTTGTACTATGTCAGTCCGAATCGGGTACAACTTATTAACGGTTGAAAATCTATTTTTTTTATACGAAAAATTTTGACTTGACTCGTATAATTAAAATCATCATAAAATAAAAAATTATCATATAAATATTTTGTATGATAAAATATACCGGAAAATCCATATTTAATAACGACTTAAAAATACGGGGTATTACAGTTTGGGCTTAACATGGACTCTTATTTAGAGATGTGATCTATGAATAAGATCCATGACTTAGATGAATCAATAATTGACAAGTTAGTTAATTGTAACTCAAACAACCAAGTCCCAAAACCCTAATTATCTCTCACTCACGGCTCTCTCTCTCCTCCCTCGTTCATACGGCCGGCCACCTTTGGTGGCGCATGTGGTGGTTCGTGGTTAGTTCGTTGTTTTCTCTTTTCCGTAGAAGGTCAATTGAAGGGTTCAATTACAACTAACTAGCATTAGTGGAGGTTTAATCCGTGCTCGTGGACCAAGTAGAGGAATCGCGTTTGGGGTTCTTTGTCTCCCGTTTGTTCTTGCTCGATTGTTAGTGGATTCACGCTTCAAAGGTATTATTAATTGTTCTTTATGTGTTATGCATTGATCTTGGTGTTTAGATGCTTATGAATATGATTTATGCAATTCCGCTTATAGTATCTAAAGTCCTATGTTCAGCTCCAATAAGTTCAGTTCAGTTGAGTTCAGCTTAGTTAAGCCAATCAGAACAGGCCCTTATTTAGTATCATATGTGTCATAATAAACTTATTTGTCACCTAAGTAAAAATGATTTAAGTTTAGAAATATATATATATATATATATATATATATATATATATATATACTTTCCGTAATATTATTTTAGTTTCAATAAAAATAATGTGAAGAAAAATAGGGCCTTAAAGATATAATTAATATGATTTTCCCAACAACAACAACAACAACAACAACAACAACAACAAAAAAAAAAAAAAAAAAAAAAAAAAAAAAAAAAAAACTCAATCTAATGCGTCCTTCCGTTATTTTAGTTGCATGCTACACTTTTCTTTTTTAGGTCTCCTAGACAATTTTTTAAGAGGTGAGAGATAGAGTGAAAAATAAGAGGGACCTATGTGGGTAGGAGGGAGATAGAGAGGAAGAAATGTAAAAAATAATGAGTGTTGCAACTAATTAACAATTTTCAAAATACCTAGGAAAGTGTAGCAATTAAAAACAAACAACGGAAGTATGATTGTTGTATTGTACGTTGTAGCTTATGGATCGTAAAAGTACAAATAAACGATGATGTAATTTATTTTACAAACATAATATTGAGTGTTCGAGTGATCATTAATTCTTAAATAACAGATTTCATGAGTGGTAAAGTGAAATAATATAGACATCTATTTACTTATAAAAGGCTAAATACATGTTGATCTTCATAATCAACATATTTTGTCAATCGTATGCGCAATTTTGGTTTTGCATTTATTTAATATGGGACATTTTGGTAAAAGCTACAAAATTATTTGGCTGTTGTTAAGTTATTAGGGCATGTTCTCATTGACTGAAATGAGCTGAAAATAACTGAACTGAACTTATTAGAGTTGAACTGAACTGAACTGAATATTTTAGAAGAGAAGGAAATCAGGTGCTGAACTGAACTGAACTGAACTTATTAGAGCTGAACTGAACTGAACTTATTAGAGCTGAACTGAACTGAACTAATTAGAGCTGAACTGAACTAAACTAAACTAAAATGAAAATAATCTGATAAGAACATTCCCTTACTCTACTGACAAACGTTCGTTAGCTAGGGGCAAGTCTCAAATCACTTCTCTCTCTCTCTCTCTCTCTCTCTCTCTCTCTCTCTCTCTCGACAGTGGCAATCTCCCGGAATAGTTAATTTTAAGGTGAATTGGTCACCACTACCTATCCTTTAGGACTGACCAATCCCTTAATTTCACCTTTTATCCGTACGATTTTTGTTTAAGTTGGCGGAAAAGCCGTGAGAGATGTGATGTGGACTATTAGAGTTGGTTGTTTAGTTATATTTATTAATATTGTATCATTGGCAAGGAATTTTAGGTAAGTTAGGTCTTGTTGTGTGTGTATATAAATACGTGTGTGTGTGTGTGTGTGTGTGTGTGTGAGAGAGAGAGAGAGAGAGAGAGAGAGAGATTAATATTAATACGAAAGGCTAAGCCGTTTTCTCCACATATTTGTAAATATGATAAGGATGGTGTTAGGGGGGTCACAAGATGTCCGTGTCCTGCAAACACCCTCCGAAACAGATGACACTGCAACCCAGCCGTAGAGGACAGAGCTAGACCGCAGTCTAGCTACAGAGCAGCCTGTGGAGCTACTATCCCAACCCAAAACAGACCAGACCGTAGCCCACCTGCGGTAGCAGATGCCAGATCACAAGCATGCCGCGATGCCCACTGCCCAGCAGCGTGAGCAGGCTCTTTCTAACTACAGCGAGCTGCAGTCAAAGGCCACTTCCGAGGGTCTTGAGCAGCCGATTGGTGGTAGCTTTGGCGTTTCTAACAAGGCTAACTCAAGCCCTAGATCAAGTACGATTCTTGAGCAAGATATTGTTGATGAATATATTGTTATATCGCCGTTGAATTTGAGGGGTAGTTCGTCGGATAATTTGGGTCGTGGTCATCGTGAGAAACGTCCTCCTTCGTGGCATCGGCATTATGTCACCAATACCGTCATTTTTAAAAATGTAGACCCCACTTCATCAAATATTGTCCCTCCTCGACCTCTTTCTTCAGGTAAACTTTTTCCTATAGCTTGTCATATTGAATATAATCGATTTTCTATGAGGCATAGGTGTTTTTTGGCGACGATCACTAAGGGAAAGGAACCGTCTTCTTTCAAAGAGGTGATTAAAGATGTCGGTTAGCGTAAGGTGATGCAAGATGATATCTAAAGCGTAATGGCACATGGATCGTTGAGGATCTTCCTCTCGGCAAAAAGGGCAATCAGTAATGGTTAGGTGTACAAAGTCAAGTACACCGACCAGTCAAAGGTGGAACTTCTCAAGGCTTGTTTAGTTGTTCATGGCAATTGACAGGTTGGTGGTGTTGATTATAATGAGACGTTTGTTCCTGTTGCAAAAAATGGGTACGGTACGTCTTCTTCTAGCTGTTGATGTGTCTTTGAATTGGGTGTTACATCAGATGGATGTTCATAATGCATTTCTTCATGGTGACTTTGTTGAAGAGGTGTATATGCAGTTTCCTCTTGGGTACGGTACTCCGATAGCTAACAAAGTTTGCAGGTTACGAAAGTCTTTAAGGGCTTGAAACAAGCCCCGAGACAGTGATTTTCAAAGTTGTCTAGTGCCCTACGAGGTTTTGGGTTTAAAAACTCATATGTTAATTACTCACTGTTTAGTTATAAACAGGGCAGTGTTTCTTTGCATGTTCTTGTCTATGTCGATGATTTTATTATTGCAGGCTCCTCTCATGATGTTGTTGTTCTATGTATATTTGTGCAAATGCTTCTATATGAAGGATTTGGGTTTGCTGAAGTTTTTCTTAGGCATTGAGGTTACACGTAGTCCAAATTAAGGGTATCTTTCTTTCTCAACGAAAGTTTGATTTGAATATCTTGACTGAGGCAGGAATGTTGGGTTGCAAACCTATTATCACTCCGATAAAGCAGAACCATCGTCTTGCTCATGCTTTGAGTGAAGCCGTTTGATCAACCGGAACAGTATCGTCAATTGGTTAGACGTTTGGTTTATTTGTCAGTCACTCGACCTAAGTTGGGATATTCAGTGCATGTTTCGGCACAATTTTTGAATGAAACACATGTTTCTCATTGGGATGCGGCCATTCGTGTCTTATGCTAGCTACCTTAAGGGTAGTTCGGGACAAAGCATCTTGTTGTGACCTATGAAGGATTTACACTTGACAGTGTCTGTGATAGTGATTGGGTGGCGTGTCCTTTAACTCTTCGTTCTTTGTTAGGTTATTTTGTGTTCTTAGCTCGTTCCCCTATTTCTAGGAAGACTAAGAAACAACCTACCGTATCGAAGAAGCCGAATTTCGTGTTATATTGAAGTGGAGAATGCTTATGGATAACTGGTTAAGCCACAAAACACAAAAATTAGCCCAAACTAAATAAACAAAGCTAAAACGAGGTCCAATTAACTAAATCCGATCAATCTTAGGCTTAAGCCCGTGCTTAAAACCCAATAATGACGAATTTAGGAGCGCCTAGATTAAATTTTAATGCTGACGCAGAAAAATCCGCGCGCATCTCAATCAGTCGCGCTAGGCAGGAGCGCGCAACTAATTCTGTTGTGCGCGTCACTTATCGTAACCTCCAGAGATACGCTCACGGAAGATTCAGAATTTTATAGAAATATAAAATCGAATCTTAACATAATGCCGTGCGCAAGAAAATCAATTGCGCTGCCCATAGCTGCGCAACTAAATCACTTGCGCTAGTATGTCGCGCGCAACTAATCCTGTTGCGCGCGACACTTGCTTCAGCAGAATGTTCAAAACCCTAAACCTACTCATTCCCAATAAATAGAGGCTTAATCCGAGGCTTAAACACACAGAAAATAATCTAAAACTCTGGCGAAATACTTGTGAACTTGTGCTACCTAAACCCTCTTGTCCTAAACACTCACCCCTTGATATTTTGTTACTACGGTCGAGGTTCCCCAACAAGAAAGTGTCCATAAGTGTTCTAAACGGAGATCTAGCAAACAGAAGTGGTAAATTCCCGAGCACTTAGATAAATCACATTTATTTTCTTGTTTAAAGGAACCTTAATTAATTAATTAGTGTTGTTTGATCGTCTTTAAAGGTCACAT